CCCAAATCACTCTTTTCTTTGTTCTCTAATTTTAAAACAAAAATGAAATAACAAATAAATAATAAAACAAATAAAATTAAAACAAACAACAATGTAACACTTCAACACAATTATCACACCAAATTAAAATGTTTAAGTAAGTTAAATCACAACCTAGAACGAACGATGCATATATATTTTTTGAATTTTCTTTCAACGACCGAATTACGGTTTGATTACCATGACAGACATACTTTGTATTTTGATTGATAAGATCAAATGCAACTTGGGCCGAACCATAAATGACTAACAGCACATGTCATGAAAAAATTGAAAATTTGTACAGCGAGGTCACTGGTCACTATTTTTGTTTTCTTTTGGAGCGATTGTCCGTGAAGCAAAAATCACGTGCTTACATTGGCAAAAGCCATAAATTACATCACCAACCAAATTGTTTTGACAAAAAACTAAGTCCCAAACTATTACTCCAAAAACCTACTTCCCATTACTCCAGCATAGTACTCTTCTTTCCCTTTCTTACATGCAGTTTTTCAGTTTTTTTCTGAGCTTGCATCTCTAGCTGGTTGCTAGTTACAACCTCTTTTTCCTTCTATGTGAGTCCTCTTGGTGAGTTGGGCAGAATTGAAGGATCACCCACACCAGTTGAACCATCTATTAAGGGGATAAATCTTGTCACAGATGGAAGATTTGGTTCTTGTCTCACCTGAAGCCTTGTCCTTGTCTCTGAAATAATTTTTGGCCTTATAGCAGGGTCTTCTTCATTTGCAAATTGTGGAGGTAAAGGTCTCCTACTAATAACATCTTGCAGGGATGAGATGCTATCAAAAGTAGTTGGGTAAGGAATAAACACAAATGGATTGCTAGAGGCTTGACTATTTTGAGATTGTTGGGGACCTGATAATGGTATTTCTTCATCAATGTCTTCATAATCTATAATACTTTTCCTTTTCATTATCTGTTTTCCTTTAGATTGTGCACTAGATGGTTGTCATAAATAAATAATAAATTATTAGATAATAGAAAGTCTACTATTAACGATTAATAAGAGTAACAAATCACCTTTGTACATTCTCTTGATTATGATTTGGTTCTCCACAGCAGCTGCAGTTCATGGTTCTCCCTTTCCTTGAAGCAGACCATTCACCTTGTCTCTTCCTTGCCTCATCTGTTTGCCTATTTATCTTCAGTTTAGGCTTGCCAGCTAACTTCACCAAGTGTGGTGGTTCCATGGCCTGTGATGGGTCTCTTTTCCAGAATTTCTCATCCCTAACAGGCTACAACTTATGTGAATAAGTCTTTAGAGCAGCCTCTTAGCTATACCACCAATGCATTTTCTCCAAAGGGTCATTCCTCTTGTATATCACTGCTTTGATTGTGTAAGGACATGGTATTCCTGAGAGTTGCCATTACCTGCAATTACATTGCTTTTCTATTTTGATAGTATGTTCATCTGCTCCTTCTCTAATCTCATAACCAGCATCTCCATTAAAGTGAACCACACATGTGTGAGCAATCTTCAAGTAATCAGCATACAATTTCATGCTTTGTGGACTGAAGTCATGAGTCCATGACTTCACTTAATCTTCATGTTCTCTCAATATGGTCATAACCTTAACCCTAATATCTTCCAACATCTTGATTATTGGTTTATACCTTGCATCCAAGATCCATGCATTGAATGACTCTGTAAAGTTATTGTCCACTGTCATGTTCTTGCACATAGTGTCAAAATAAGCTCTACACCATGACTGGGCAGGATAATGTAGTAAATCTCTCACAACATCTTCATCCATTTTCCATATATTCTTCAGTTGGTCTTGAAAATCCTCCCCATAAGTGCTCCATGCACACCACCATAGAAGCTTCTTCATCTCCCCAGATCTCCATCTCTTACACCAGTTAGCCTCAATGTGTCTAACACATATCTATGGTTAGCTTTAGGAAGTTCTGTTCTCATTCCCTCAACCAAACCCTGCAAGTCATGAATCAAACAGAAAAGAAAAAGGCTATAAAAGAACAGAAAACAACTGAAATAAAGTATGGAGAAGTAGACATTGAAAAATAGAAAGTTTACTGAAATAAACAGCTGAACTTTTGCATGTCTGATATGAAAGTGTGTCCTTCTCCATTATGTAGGTCCAATGACCCTTTTAGCAATCCCAAAAACCATTCTCAAGTCCTCTTTGTTTCTTTGTCCACTTCAGCCCATGCTATATGATAAAAATGGTTCATTGAGTCTTGACCAACGACAACTAGAAGTTGTCCTTTAGCTTTTCCCTTAAGAAATATCACATCCAATCCAATAAAAGGCCTCAAACCAGTCTTAAAACCCATCTTCAGTGCATTGAAACAGATATACATTCTTAAAAATTTTCTCTTACCTTCAGCTAGTGCATCTTTTGACAAGTTAATAATAATATCACTACCAGGATTACTGATCTTCAACTCATTGGCATATGCCTCTAGCTTATTATACTCATCTTTAAAGCTTCCTTGCAGCTTATTAAGAATCAATGCTTTTACCCTCTTACATTTTTCATGATTAACATTCAGCTCAAATGCATCTTTCAGGTCAGTCCTCATCTCTTTCACTTTATATTTTGGATTATTTTATAACTTCTTAAAATAATATGCAATAGTACAGTAGTCAACAGTACTATTATCATAAGCAGCATAGTCATGATGTGGGTTTAAGGTCTTGATTCTTACTCCTAGACAGTTCCTATCTTTAGAGATTAAACAAACAAATGGGCAACCAGATTGACACTCATGCCTAAGCTTGTTTTATCACTTTTTTTAAGAACTATCTCTTTCTTATTTGCCACACCATAGAGTTTTAAACACTTCCTAGCTTCAGAGATGTCCTTGAAGGTCATACTCGTGTCTAGTTCCTTATAATCAAGGAGTTGATCAGTAATGCTCATGTTTCTTTGAGTTGCAATAGTATCTAATTCTTCAGAATCATAGTCTGAAGATTCAGAATCATACTCATCACTATCCTTACCATTAGTTGAGCTATAGTCAGTAGCAGCCTCAAAAACAGGTACTACAACCTCATCATATTGAGTAATATTAGGTACTTGGACTGACATCTCACATTCCTCAACATCAAACCAATTAATAACATTATAATCAGTACTAACCATTTCTAACAGGCACCTAATACCACTATCCCCTTCAACTTCATAGTAGCTACCAGAAGGGGCAGAAATTATAAGTTATTGAACACCAATAAACCCTAATTCATCGCAAAACTCATCTACAATGTCTTTATATGAAAGATGGTCAGAGTCATAGCCTGTCCAAGTGTGCAACAGGTTCTTAGCATATTTCACTTGTGGCTCTCTACTTTATTCCCCACTATAGTTGAATATTATGTCCAGATTAACCATTTTGTTGATCTGAAATTAGATAACATAAATAAAGATTGGATAACAAATTGTAAGAAAGTTGAGCTAAGAAAACCAACCACAAACTAAACTAAATTAAATTATTATTGATCCATGCATTAAACAATACCATATAAGAGTAATAAAACAAAGAAAAACACATAAAAACAACAAATTCACATAATCTAAACCACCATAGCAATAAAACCATCTCTAAAACCTTAAACCACCCAAAGAAAACAGAAAAATGAGACCAACACATCAATCAAAACAATCAATGTGTAAAAGAAATACAAAATTACTAAAATAATCGGATTACCCCACATTCAGGACCACTAGTGAGTGATATTACCCCACATGCAGTAAAGTCAAAATTTGACCCATAAAGAAAAAGCCAAAAGTTGCATTAGAATAATCAAAAATTATAGTAAAAACAATATATAAATCAACCCATACACGAATCTCTAACTAAAATGGATAAAATCAGGAAACCTTAAAATCGACGATATTAAACCTATGAAATAAACGCTAACTTAAGACACATTACTACAAAAATTATAGGCTAACAAGAATGCATCTATAGTTTTGGTGGAATTTTAGTACCTTTACACCATAGGAGATTCAAGAATCAGCAGATGGATGGAGTAAGAAGAAGAAACGGGTCTCTTAGATTTAGGTGTAATGAGATAAAAGGGCTAAAATGATCTATTTAAATGAACCCGTTAAAGGGTTACGGATCGGGTCACACTTGGGTTCAAATCGGGTGTAAAAATGGGTAACCAAACGATAATTAAAAAAAATTGGGTGTATTAATATTGAGCCACGTGTCCGTTTCGGCTGGGTCCATTAATGAGAGGGTAATCTTATTTATAACACTAATGACAGGGATAGAAAGGGTTCAATAGTATAACGGGAGGTACAAATAACTAATATATAATAGTACATGGGCAGGAATAGCCCTTTTACGAAATATTATTGCAACTAAGTATGACATGGAAGGGCAATGATCCAGAAAGTTGGTCAGATCTTCATTCTTCATGGCATAGTCTAGTGGTAAGAGCGTAACACATGATGTGTGAGTTAAACGCAAGTCACAAGTTTGAATCTTGCTGTAGACAAAAGTTTGGTATTAAGTGGAGAAAGATAGAGGGGTGAGCGCATTATCCACCAAGTTTAATGATGTGCCACAGGCCCGGGACATTTCTTGATTATAAATCTCATAGATTATCTTTAAGTCAATATCAAGTTCAAATGTTAAACCGATTTTAGCTCAGTTGGTAGAGTGGAGGACTGCAGCGTGCTTCCATAGCAATCCTTAGGTCTCTGGTTCGAATCCGTCAGGTCGGAAAATTTCTTTTATTTTCTAATTTCTAATGAATCTCTTTGTCGTTGCTTTTTTTTCCCCTTCCCTTTCCCCCTTCCCCTCTCTGGTTTTTCCTGCAAATTGAATCCAAAATTCTAAACCCTTGTCTGTCGTTCCTTAAACCCTTCACTCCAACATCAGAAACTAAAGAATACACAAATGTCAATTTGGCGTCTCCTTTGGACCAAATCTACCACCACCGCCATTTCTTCCATTTCCAAAACCTCAACTTCCCCAAACTCCACTTTCTCTCAATTCAGACAACTTTCCACCTCTTTCCTCGTCACTAAAATCCCCAAAAAATTCCGAAAGAAACGCAAGAAAAAGGACTTCCCACGTACCAAACTGGTCCAAACTCAACCAAACATCATCCCCTACTTCGAAAACATCCTCGTACGCGATACCCATTTCAGATTCCTCACTAAAACCAAAGAATTCCTGTCCAAACAACCCCATCATGTCCTTCGCCTTGACGATGCTGGAAAACTTCACCAGCAGCTGGGGTTCCCACGTGGCCGCAAGATTGTCCGTTCCCTCCAACGCCACCCTTCAATCTTCGAAATTTATCGACATACTGATGGTAAGATGTGGTTTGGTTTCACTGATTTTATGGAACAATTGTTGGAAGAAGAATCTTGTGTAATGAATCAAATGGAAAATGATAGAGTTAATGTTGTTAGGAAATTGTTAATGATGTCGAAAGACAAGAGGATTCCCTTGAGTAAAATTTATCATAATAGGCTTTTATTTGGTATACCTGAAGATCTTAGGGATAGGATAGGGAAGTACGAGGATTATTTTAAGGTTTTTGTTGAGGAAGATGGGAGAAGGGTAGTTGAGCTTGTGAATTGGGATCCTACATTGGCGGTGAGCGCGTTGGAGAAGGAGTATATGGTTGACGAGGATAAGGTGAAGAGGGCGTTTAAGTTTCCAATTAAACATGGCAAGGCATTGGATTTGGATGAAGGCGATGAGAGGAAGTTGAACTTGTTGTATACGTTGCCTTTGGTTTCGCCTTATTCTAATGGAAGCAAGTTGGATTTGTGGACTGTGGAGGCTGAGAAGTTTAGGGTTGGATTGATTCATGAGTTCTTGAGCTTGACGTTGGAGAAGAGAGCCTATATACATAATCTTGTGGAGTTCAAGGATGAGTTTTGTCTTACAAAGCATACTTATCAGATGCTCTTGAAACAGCCGCGGACGTTTTACTTGGCTGGTACGGAAATGAATTGGTGTGTCTTTCTAAAGGATGGGTATGGGGAAGATGGGGTTTTGCTAAATAAGGATCCTCAGGTGCTGTTCAATGAGAAACTGTATGGATATGCTGGCATGAAAGTGTTGGAGCCAACCAGTCTTGTCAATGAGACATGAAATGTTTCTTTAGCTATGTTCTTGTGTAACTTGTTGTGATGACAGAGCTTCATTGAGCAGAATTTGCACCAAGAATACCGAAAAACTTCCAACTTGTGGTAGAATAATGCACCAGATTATACATCAAAACAACATTATACTAGAGGTATCGGAGTTGTTTCGAACATTTATTTACAATTTTTCCTGCTGCCTATGGTCTTTCAGCTGTAATCATGTCCATATTCACAATGTAGAACACTATTGCGCTAACAATGTGGAAAACTTACTTATCATAAAAAGAAAAACATTGTAAAAAGCTATGGCATTTCATTGTCTAAGGTAATATTCAGTATTCTACTATTATTTGAGAAATTTGGATGACTGAGGTTAGTTTGGTTTAACCATGACTCCATGAGTAAATTCTCTTTCTGATCTCTCTATCCGCATGAAAGTTACAATCTTGTTCAGTCCATTTTCCCACTGTTTATCTGTAATTAAATTCAATTGTGATATCTTCATTTACTTCCTCTACTTTCAGTTGGTTAATTGGATAACATAGGATGGTGGTTAGAGCTGATATAATATGCATATTTTGTGAAGAACATTTAAAAAAATATATTGTGAAGACATGAGTAAATTATGATATAATGTTCATTGAACTCGTATGAAATACATAACTCGATGAGAAATACACGAGAGAATAGAATCGTCCTTGCTTCAATGCTGGCAAGTACAGAAGAAGACTGCAGCAGATTTGGAAGACTATCCCATGATGCATCATGTGGACTGTTTGGTTGGAGAGGATAAGAGATGTTTGAAGTAAAGAAACAACACATTTCTTTTGTAAAGAATAGATGTTTGCAGAATTTATACTTGTGGCGTAAAGATAGTGCTAGAAGATGTTGCATTTTTTAATTCTCTGTGACTAAAGCTGTAATGAGGAACTTGTTATCCTCCTATTGTACTTTTTCATTACTTTCTTGGTACTACTATATAAAATTACCTTACCCCAAAAAAATCATTCTTAATTACGCTCAACCTTTGATGACAATCTACCACAGACTAGTGATTAGAAAAGGTGAAGCCAGAGCATAGGCTTACTAAAGATGGCGAAAGGTTCTGCTCATTTATCTGTCAAAATGAATGGGTAGTAATTGTTGAATTCGTGTGTTACCCGTTGTTCTTTCAATGGAAAAGGATAGCCAACGTGAATGGCTTGGCTGCTTGCTAAAGATGAAGGTTTGCATTTTGAAAGCTTCTGTTTTGATTTAGCTGTCAACTGTTCAATTTGTCTGTTACTTGTTGGTCTTTCAATGGAAAAGGATAGCCAACAGGGACAGAATACGCGCCGTGAATGGCTTGGCTACTTGAGAATATTACCTATATTCTGTTTTTATCCTAAGTATCCAATAGGTGTGGAAGATTATATAAAGCATGAATTATCAGTTTCTTGATGCTCTTGGCACTATTCAATCATGGATTGTCATTTAGTCAGAAATTTGTTCAACTTTCCAAGCTAATATGCCTCATGTTTAGTGTTTATAGTTGAAACATTCAGTCAACTAAAACGTTGGAAATATAAGACTACAAAGAATCATACTTGTGTGGCTCAAAAGAAGCCTTGAGAATTTGACGTATCATCAGGAAATTCAACTAATGCTGTCTATTAGGTTGCTAAGCCTCAAATTTACTACTCCCTCTGGTCCAATGCGTTTTTTTTGGCTGTTTTTACACATATTAAGAAATGGGATTTTTACCTATCTATACCATATATCAAACCTTATTACCTTCATTGTTTAAGGATTG